TCGGTTCGTGTCCGACATGCCACCGATGATGGGTGGTATCCGAGGGGATTTCCGCACGGAAAAAAAAAAAGAAAAAAAAAGGTATGTTTATGAGCAGACTAGTTACCATAGTACAGGCTCTGCCTAGTTTGGGATCAGGCATTAAAAAAAGACACGGAGGAGAGACGCTTCACTTCTTAAAATGAGTTAAAAAAAAAATTATTTTTTGAGTTTTCGAACATTCCAACATTTTTTTAAACAATTCCTAAAAAGTCCTGAGTCCTCACATAACATAATCAACATCCTTTAATAGTCCACTGCTATACATAGGCCTCTCCTTAGAAAGGAAAAAAAAATTAAAAACAAAAAAAACAATTAACCAAATAGGTGCAGTTTTGCGCTTACATACATTCGGCGATTGATTTTTATTTATATAAAATGACCTATTGTTTCGCGAGGTCGATAGCTCGATTCTCATCAGTTCAAATACGTTTATGCATGAATGTGTCCATTTACATTGGTCTGGGTATTTATATGTGCGTATAATATGTACATATATACATATATTTATATATAAGTATACATACACTCACGTCTTTTTATCCGAAGGGGTAGACATAGCCGTGGTTCATATCCAGTTAAAACGTATACATACCTAAAGCTGAAGAATTTTTTTTTTTGTTTAAGTACGTTAATCTCTGAAACTATCAGTCTGATATGAATGGTTCTTTTGTATTGTGAAGTGTCTGTTTGTAATATTAAAATAACCGCTTTTTACTAAATGCATATGTATGTTTACACGGTACATATGCCAAAATAACATTTTTTACAATTTTTGTCTGTCTGTCTGTTTGTTCCGGGTAATCTCTGGAACGGCTGGATCGATTTCGACGGGACTTTCACTGGCAGATAGCTGATGACATAAGGAGTAACTTAGGCTACTTTTGTTAGACTAGCTTCGCCCCGCGGCGTTGCCCGCGGTTATAACAACAAACGCGGGTAACACCGCGGGTCTCAGCTAGTCTATATCTATAAAAGGAGAAAACTGACAGACGGATGTACTGATTAATCGATCTACGCGTAGCTGAAACCGCTGGGTAGACGTAACCGCTTAGAAGTATGAAGTCATTGGGTGACGTAGGTAAGCACTAAAAAAGGGAAAATTCCACCCAACGTTGCAAAATGGGGGTTGTGAAATTTATATGCAACTATATTTTTGACGTGTGGTGACGGGTTAAGAATACAAATTGTCACCACCCCAATTAATCCCGTGGGTGTCGTAAAAGCCGACTAAGGGAGCAAACTAAGCAGGACAACAGCACTGCAAAGAGAAGGAAAACTTGAAACAAACCCGTCTGGCCAGCGTGGTATAGTAGGCCAAAACCTCCTTTCTAAGGAGAGGCCTATGTCCAGCAGTGGACTGTGGTGACGGATTAAGGGTCCGTGTCCCTTAATCCGTCACCACACGAAATGTTGAGTGTGAAACCAAAACTGTTTGCTTATTCCAATCAATTAGGATATTTTGACGGTGACGATACAGAATATTGCATTATAACACTAAGAAAATGATCTGAGACATTTACCAGAAAAAACCTCAAACAAAAACTATATACACACAAAAAGCATGTCCCAAATATAGTCGGTTTCAGTCTCCGAACCTTTCATGGTAACGAGTGATATAAGTAATCAATAACATATTAAAGTGTTGCGTTCAAGGCGAGCCACACCAGCCGAGCCGAATCATGACTGATAAATGTCTTAAATATACTAGGAAGTGTCGTGCCTGATTCGTCCTAGGCAGCCCTTGGTTACACGCATACGTACCGATAACCACACATGTAACGAACACACACACACGCACACACGTCAAGAAAAATGACCATGAGATAACTGACATCACAGCAAGGTCCCGCCGGCTGGTACGGTTTACAAAACAATTTTCGTGAGTTAAATACTTGATTGGCCGGTTCGTTTAGTGGTTGATGATTCTGATTGCTTGAGCTAAGGTCGTGCGTTCGATTCCCACCCAGGACTAATGATCGTGTGAATGAGCAAGATCATTTGTTCTGTTACGTTAATGTTTGATTTTATTAATACAGTACTCTTTTGCTGGATTACAGGTTCTCTATGCCTTTTGCTTTTCACGTGTATATTTATTTGTTATTGGTTAAGTAACTAATGCGTAAAAACGTTACAAAGAAACTAACAAATTTGCATTTCAAATTTCAGTTAGGATTCAATGCAAATCACGATGTGTGACGTCATTTGTTCCTGTTAAACTTTGTTATAACCTTGAACGATTCTGAAAAGGTGCAAATTGTGCATTTGATAACCGCATCTGCATAAGACAAATTAAATATTTAGTCACTAATAGACATGACATGAAAATAAATTGTTTAATCATGTCAAACGGCAATGCTCTAACTTCAAGATAGTTACTCCTTACTGTTGTCGTCAATAATTTAAAAAAATACTGGCGAGTCTTACAGGAGTCACACACGATACCTCACATCTCGACCATCTGACGGTTAACTACAGCTTTGGTCAAATCAAATACACACTGCTACACACTTCCGTCTCTTTTCAAGAAACCATTCCTAGAAATGACAGGAATGCAAGTTACACGTTCAAAATTATTTCGAGTCTATGGTTGGTTTTGTTACGTCTGGCCGCATCCCTTGCCAATTGTTTTATGGAATGTAATCGTAAAATGGAAGATGGTATACTAGTACTAAATAAATAGACGGTGAGATCTAGGGATTAAAGGTACAGCCATCAGCGGGACTGAGGCTGCAATAAGCCTGGCTCGTGAACCCGTATGGCCCATGAATGACAGCGGCTTCTGATACAAATATTTTATATTACCAATAGGGTAACAATATACAGGACTTTTATACGGCGGCAGACTTAATATCAAACATAAGCGTTACAAAAACGTGTAATCAATAAAAAAATATGTCTGCTAATAGTGCAGAGATTTACTTGGGTAAAGCTAACACCGTCGCCAACCGTTTGTCACTAGACGACGCCGACGACGTTTGTTTTTTGTCTATTTTAGTATTTAGCTAGATTAGTTGATAATAAGCGTCAAGGATAGTTTATTTATTTACATATAACATTTTAATTATACATTTTATAAAAGTAGTTATGATGTCTGTTACTTTAATAGCATCAAAGTATTTACTTGCTGTTTGTTTAAACGGCGATAAAACTATATTATTGTATTAAATATAGGAAATACAAACTCGTATAAATTTATATGTTTAAAGGTATAAAGCTTTTAAGGCTTACATTGCCTTACTTGTGTTTTTTTGATTCGGGCAATAAACTAGTTATGTAAAATATAGAAAATTAATCTAAAATATAGAAAAAAATCACCCAAGTACCACGCCAATTCTGAATAGAACCGACTAAAGTTACCCAATGTCGTCTGAGGTATTAACCTAGGAAGGAACTAGCTGAACTTCCAACACACTTGGACAATTCATGTGACGTAAAATCCCACAAGCGTCTCTCTCTCATATTAAAAAAGGCGATTTACATTATTAAAAGTACCAATTACATGCATGTGGCATACATGTAATTGGTACTTTTAATAATGAAACGTGGGAGGTCTAGGAACTCTTTGCATCAACAGTAGAAATGTCAATCGTCCACATTTTTTTTTTTAAGGCACGTACAACTTTATCTGCTAACGGTACCCCCACGTGCATTACGCATGCTGCGTAACATATAGTAATGACAGTGTTTGTGCGGCGACAGCCGGTGACCTTCAGACCCGGACCGATGAATATTTTTAACGTAGGGCCCACGCACCGGCAAACACTCTTTCATTCCTGCATATAGTTGAACTAAATTTAGTTACCAGTTGACAATGAATTTGAGGTGACCAAATCACATTTGGAACAATTAATTTAGTACAACATACCAGCATTGACAACCAACCTATCACTAAAATGCGGAGTAATCTTGTTTGGACGTATGTTTGCCACTTTAATGACTCTAAAAACTCGTCGATTGATTTGTGCTTTATATTTATATTGAGGATAAACTCGATATTAAAATAAAACGTTTTAATCATTGCAGTTACATAAATATATTACTGCATGATGGCCTGGGTTCAATTACCCTTTCAAACACTTTGTTACATTCGTCCTATAAGGAACTCCTTTGCAACAGTCATGGTACCCGGAAGACTCTACCAATTCTTCTATTAAACCTAAAATTATCCAAACCAACATTCAGAAAACACACATCTGTTTACCCCTTCAGCGATACGAAGGCGTGATATAAAAAAAATACAATCTAAGTTAACAAAGAACTAGTTAAACGTACCGCATAATCATTATTCAAGGTAACTAGGGCTCATAGCGTCGATGATTACATTTCGTTTGCATGTGTTTTAAACGAATAAGGAAACGTGAAAACGACAAACAAACAAACTAAACGAAGGCCTTAACATGAGAAAATTAAGTAATATTTTATCATCATTAGCCTACTGCTGGACGTCCCCAAGGAGCCGGAGATCGGAAGGGATTTTGAGGGGGAACAAAAAAAAACAGGCCTCTCCTGAGAAATGAAGTTTGACCTACTCCGAGGATCTCTCCGGTGGAGCCGGAAAATATGTGAGATTTTATGTAATAAAATATATTGCGACATAAAACAGTGAGTCAAGCTTTATGATTCAAAAGAAGGAAATGATTCATTTAAATAATTAATGTTTTTTTTTAATCTTTTTTTTTTTAAATTAATGTTTTAAAGGTGGTTGCTTTTTTTTACATGGCAACATTTTAATTTTATATTTAAATTTCTGGTAATTCTTTTAAGCTATTGTCCTAACCGTAAAACCCACTTCAAAACCCTGTAGGGAAAAAAATGAGTAAGAAAGAGATAGAACATAACTTTCATTGATAAAGCAATTCACCAATGAATTCCTGTTTCAAGACTTCGTTCCTCATTTACCCACAAACTGTATTTTGGGTTGAGACATTTTAAGTAATTCTGAGAACTTCTAAAACTTATCACAGTGCATTCAGTACAGAACCATCACCATCCAGATATAGCTGCGCAGACGGCGACACCGGACGCACGCGCTGAAGGCTCTTCCTAGCTGCTAGTGAGTCAGCAAAACGTAATATAGCTTTACACTTCTGGAAATTTCTATTCGCGCTTATTGTTAGTTTACTGTGGTATTTACGGAGCGTATTTACGGCCAGATTAAACACGGATGAGTTATATGCGGGATTCTTAATTCGGTTAAAGCTGTAAAGCTAACATTGCGTTTATAAGATTAACTTCAGATAATTTTCCACTATAGATTTATTAATTAATTGCACTGTAAAATAGTAATAGGATTTACAAATTATGAGCTCATAAAATTTATTTATAAGTAGTTTTTCTGGGTAATTAAACTTTCGCTCTTGCAACTTGACAACCCTACACAACATGGCTCAAATATACTAATTCTATTTTTAAAAAGAACGTATACTAAAACAGAATATCACAAACATTAAATAAAATAATTTCATAGCCTAATTTAAAAAAAGAACGACGCGTAACTCCGAATAAACGCATCCGTCCAACTCGTCTGAAATCAGCTACTACGCATTAATACAAGCAAATACGATTCAAATTATTCGAACATAAATTTGAAAGAGAAAAAAATAACGTGTTACTGGCCACCGATTAGGTAGCATAAGAACTGACACTATAATTTTAAGTTTAAAAAATCTATCATCTCACCGATAATAGTTTTAAATAGTATGGCGTGTTACTTTAGCTTACTAAAACAACCGGTGTTTTTATGAAACTTACCTAGGTAATTTTCAGATAGCTGATATATTTTTATATAAAAAATCTTGACTTCAACTTTTTTATATCGACCGTCATAAACTCAGTAGCGTGATATATAAATTATATCTTCTGGTTTGATTAACGAATGGCAATGTGATTTAATAGTACCTAAAAATCCACATTTTAATAATAAAAAAGGCAACATCTTTTCGTAAGATTTCTAAATCAAATGTATAAAATGTATAAAAATAACTATATTAATTACTTCAATAGTTTTAATTTTTTTTATGGTAACATTAAAATATGTATCTTTCTTATAAAAAGAAATTCAAACCTTTCAAAACCTTTATTTTGTAACATTTATAGTAATACCCGAATGATATTCCACATATACAAAATCTATATCTCACTACCAGTAAAAATAAAAAAAAAAGACATAGATTTTCTTACTCAATCACGCTATAAAGGACGAATGTATCTGGATGAAATTTGGCACAGAAGAAGATCACAAGAATAGCAGGTACGCTACATGTCATCGCAAATAAATTGGTTGACAAAATCGACAATACCGCAAGTGATTCCACAGGCAAAATGTAGTTATCAGTATACATAGATAAATTTAAAAGCAATTAAACAACTTCCTATTTTAAACATCTAGAACGAGCGACTCTACAGCGTTCGAACATCAGCATTTCACCTAGATTTCTCCCGTTAATGCCTAGCAATTTCCAGTAGAAAGGGCTTTGTACTATTTCGGTTTTGGGCAAACCATCAGTCATCAAAGCATCAGTAGCTTCCGCGTTGGCAACGCGCCAGCGACGCACAAAGGATGCATTAAGGGCCCAGAATTATGACATGCACTTCTAAACACACATTGGGAAGGCATTTTCGTGTACCGGCCTACTTCAGAATTACCTTTTTTACGATTTCTTACAAGAAACAAGTAATAAATCTATAAAATTATTTATTTTTTATAACTTTATATTTTTAGTATAGAATGAAACGACTTCCCTATAAAATGTAGTGAAAAAACCTCTTCAAACTTCAGTGCCATCAAATGAAAATACACCGAAATATAGAGTAACTACTAATAATGTATCACAATATAAAAGGTTCTCACACCAATTATCATATATATATATATATTTATATATATATATAAAGAAATAAACTGACAACTCCCGCACTAGGAATATATACTGTGTCCTTTACACACCTACATGAAACGGACACAAAGAACACCCAGACTCAGAACAACAATTTGTGAATCACACAAAGTGAGGATCGGACCCACAGCACTCAGCGTAGTAGTGAGCGGCGTGGCGACCGCTTAAACCACTACGCCATCCGTGCAGTCAATATATACTTCCCATCAACCGATGGGTCCCAATCCGCGTGATCTCCTCACCTGGTTGGGAGATCCTCCCTTTGTGTTGTCGATGTGCTTCATCTCGTGCTACAATTTTGTTTATTTTTTTTATCCTTTTTTGGATCTATAGTAATTAGCACTATCACACAGATTCAAGACTAATTTAAAATCAAATGCGTATCTTCTATCATATTAAAGCTATTTATTAAACAAAAGAAAATAGAGCTAACTTTTTTACCTTTAATTTTTTCAATGGCCGACCTTACCTTGACTCTCAATCTCTTGTCGACGCACTCTTTCAGCACTGCGAGGGGTCCCTCCATTTTCTCCATGCGTGTGAGAACGTTTTTCGTCTTCCATGGCTGTTTTGTGGGCATGGAAACTAAAAAAAAAAGAAATCGTGATCTTAAAACGTAACTTAATGGCTTAATATTTTTTTGAATCTATGTTTTAAATTTAATGTGCGAATAATTTTCGTGCCTATCAGCAATTTTTTTCTTATTTTGTTTATTTAATAAACATTATGCACAAATTATGCATCGGCGGACTTAATGCCTAATGCACTCTTTACCAGTCACCCAATTTCAATTGGGCGATGCAGAAAAGACATCTCAGCTGCTTGTTTGCCTCTTTTACTATAAAAAAAATGGTGGCACAGCACGGCCTTTGCAATACGTCATTCCATTTCCTCGTATAAAATACATTTTCGTTTCAAAGACATCTGGTGAACTCTGGCTGTGAACGACCGTACCAAACAAAAAAATAAACGGCCAAAAATAGCACAAAACAGAATCACGAGCGTACAACAATTAAAAATTACAACAAACTATAAATCTATTGTGATAATAAAGCCGCGGTCAACGCCCCCGGGTGGCTGTTATCACAGTGGCATACATACGACACCTGTTAAAATATCGCAAGTACATTTGAGACGCCGCCGTGATGCGTGAAGATACGTGCAGTCACCGTACGGCCGACTCGGTCATTGGCTGCGCTTTTGTTGAACATATGAATGTTAATAAAATGTAATTGAAGAATAAATCGAAGACGAAATTAATGTTATATTGTCTTAGTTGAATCCGATTAAAGCTCTCTTGTTAAATAGGTATGATTTAAAGAAGACGCTTCTGAACTCTTCTGTTGTGGCGATTATGCTTTATCATCGTTCCTGTTTTTTTAACAATCATATTGTTTTTGGGTTACAATGACATAAAATCGTTATAGTAGTAGAATAGGATCTGACATTTATTGAACTTTACAGGACAGTCATTTTTGGACATAACTTTTTTAATTCTAAATCTGTAACTATGAAAATTGGCATACAAGTGAAAAATAGTGTTTGTTTTCAAATGCAATAAAAATGATAACTAATAATTTTATAAATTTCTAGAAAAATCACATTCTTCATTTCACTTTGAGCGCCTATCAAACAAACACTGAATAATTTAAAATCTAAAATACAAAATATTTTTTTCTTGAATGTAATATTTAGACAATGTAGTATCCAAACGGACTTTAGTATTCTGTTTTAAAACCGACATTATTACTACTATCATGATAAATATGCCAATTTCAAAATTTTTATTTGAGACATTTTACCAAAGGGTTATGGCTGGTTTCTTTCATGGCCTGACGTAAATTCTCTTTCGGAATGTTGTTGTTGTTATTCCATACAAAGAAAAAAATCGGTTGTCTGTAAAGTCGGTTTACTGACGATAGTTGAATGTGACAACGTCATAAGAAAATACTGATGAAATGGTAGCATTTTTCAAAAATGTATTATTGTATACGAGTAGCAGCTGTCCACGCGGACGCATCGCTCACTCAAGTAGGAGAGAGACAGATGTCGAACGCTGCCGAACGCGGAGGCCGATTGTGCCTCTTTGTCACTCGTTCCGCGCTCTCGCTTGCACTTCACGCCTTAAATGGAACGCCTCAGAGCGAGGTAACGCCGCATGAGTCATGTTTTTTCGTGCGTGCAGCCGGCTCCATCGAATTATAAGACGTTGTCACGTCAAAAATGTAAATTGCGTGAGGAAAACGGATGGGCGAGGAACCTAGATTACGGGATACCTCAAGTCTTGGACTGAAACTGCACTAAGGCCAAGAAGGTTCGTCCAAGTTGCACACTGTGCGTCCATCCTGTGGACCCGCCTACTGATGGTGCCGTCCAAATTTGTAGGTCCATATTACAAATAGTTCAGGAATCGAGTTTAAAAAACCTGTACCTCGCTGATTGATTACGTACTTTAACTAAAGACTAATTTTAATTTTCCCTGTACTTGTAGTAATAGGACGATGTTACTTGCCAAATTTAATAGTTCTAGGTCAACGGGAAGTTTCATTGCTCTAAGCTTAAGCGTTTTTTGCGGCATAAGAGGCCGTATCTTATTTTAACGTTGATTTTTTTTTTTATAAAGGGTTTGACAGACAGACGGACAGCAAAGTGATCCTATAAAGGGTCCGTTTTTTTCCTTTTGAGGTACGGAACCCTAAACATCGACAACACAACAGACGTAGGCAGAGCTAACTGTATCCACAACTATTCATCCTAATACAAAATCGAGATGTTATAGAAATGTTGCAGAACTCCATATGCTGCGAATTTTTTTCCAAACATGGACCCATTAATAAAGATTGTGGCCCGAAATCCAAACCCACCACAACTTCTCAAGCAAACACATAAAAGCTAACTTACAAAGTGTCTACTTAAGTACCCGTGTAATTCGCATTTTGATAAGTATGCAAAAAATACGAGAGTTAGGTAAATTGTACTTTCTGAATAGGTATTTAAATAATCATTACTTTGATAAATTGCCTACACAAAACTTTCTACATTGGAAAAAAAACAATCACATTCAGAGAGTACTAGGCGACCAGACGAGACAAAGAGGTTTGTCATTGATGTAAATTTAAAACGAATATACAGAATAGCTACTCTGAGCTCAGCTTTTATTTAACATTTATTCTATTTTATTAATGAAACTAGCAACAGTACAGGTTCCAAATCTAAAGTAATGTACCAGGAGTGTAGACTTAACAAAGAGGTCATAGTTTTCATTAAATTTTTGGGTATACATCTTATATCAGTTTGTACGCTAAACCGACTTTAAACTTGGACCCAAATATAAATTTTTACTGCAAAGAAATTCAGATTTGCCGCTTATAATTACGAAGATAAAAATAATCATTCAATAAATGGTACTATTATATCGTCGGTTAAAAAAAAAGAAGTAATGGGGCGCCTACGCGTCGTATGAGATGTACAAAGAACTAATTTATTGCTTTTACGATGTATTGATAAAATATGTTTCTAAATATAGACAATTTAAATGAAATCAAGAGCGGCTGCACGAAACGGGTTCGTTCATTACAACTAGAACCGAGTTAGAAACACGATTACGAATACTTGACATGTTAAAATCGCAAGTAGAAAAAAAGAGCGATATGAGAGATGATTGTTGAGGACGTAATAATAATCGATAAAAAATTATAGGAGACATTGGTTCGAATTGAGCGATCATTGAAATTGAAACTGGCTTGGAAAAAAGAAATTGCTCGGTGAAAACGTGTGATAGATGAACCTGGAAAGCCAACATCAACAAAATCCGTTACGCAAACCTATCAATTCATCATCATAATTATAAAAAAAACTCGTAATCTAACAACAAATGTATGCAGCGGCGCAGTGCGAGGTACCAGGGAGACATGGCTCGCGAGCGGTCGCCGATCGCGAATTACTTTCACTCGACTATCCCCGGGCGCTGACCGCGCGGCCGGGGTCGTCGGCCGCGAGCGAGCGCGGGAAACGCCACCCGCCATCGCGCCATTCAGAAAAGCGCGCCATGTTTACACAGATGCCCGCCGAAACGCGTGCCGTTGCATCACTTCCGTTTGCGTTCCGTTTTGCCGCTTATTGACGACGTACCGATTTACTTTTATGTGTTTAACACAAATTTATTGCGTAATCTTGTTTGAATCTTTACTACAACCTTAGGTGCAATATTCTTGGTATAAAAAGTGTAAGTAAAAGCTTATATGTACTTTCTGACAGTGGCTCGATATCTTTAACATATTGTTCTAATAAACAACACAAATAGATTTTTGCAATGATAATAGTGGGAATGGTGGTGACGGGCACTCTGCGCACGCGCAGCCCACCAGCTTAGCGTGATAGATAACAGAACACGCAAGGCAATTTCGTATTACATTTTATAATTCGAAATTATTTTACCACACGTCATCGCATTTTCTTTTTTAATTATAAATGTCAATCTGCTGTCAAGTGATGAAATGCAACGATAAAAATCGTAATAAATTTATAACAGTTCTTTAGATATAATCAGTTTAAGAACTTCTTTTATAAAAATATTAATTTCAAACAAATAAATTAAATTAGATTAAAACAAGTTAGTTATTTTCCATATAATAATGTATATGGATACATTTTAAATATATGTCTATTTTTATAAAATTGTTAAAACGCAAACGTTATTTATTAAATAAATATTATAAGTGTGCGTTACTTTCTTTGACACAATTGTTCAATTTACTTGGACTAATCATCATCATCATCATCATCATCATCAACAGCCTTTAATAGTCCACTGCTGGACATAAGCCTCTCCTTAGAAAGGAGGTTTGGCCTACTAGTCAATTAATATTTTTATTTTGAATTCATGTGATGTCGAATAAATAGTTCAAATTCCTAGTCGAATAAATATTCATTTTTTATTGAAGAAAACAAGTCAAAACATGTAATCTTAAACTAGTTTTATTCCCTTTTATCTCAGATGACATCATTTACTTATTGTAGCGTCTATAGCGGGCATTGTGGAATTGATAATAATTTCGACTGGTAACACCACTTTTTAAGATCACATTTCATCAGCGAGCTGCAGGGTTGCCATAAGAAGTAATTTATTACGATTCATTGGCATTCCTTTCAACGTAGAGAGCGAAGACACCATTTACAGATTTCTTTTATCTCTTTGACGGGTGTTTACTTATGTCCAGATAACATTCACGCACATATTCGCATTCCTAAACAATTACAGAATATATGTTTATTAAAGTATGATTTAGGAAAAAATCTTTAGACATTGGTATGAAAACTAGTATAAATCCTTTGAAAAAACGTTGAACCGACTTCAAACAATACTAACAAAGAGCACAAAAAAAATGGTGTAGTATAAATTGGAACCATTTCGGATGAACCTCTTTCGAACAAAAAATAATTTTGAAATCTATATAAATATGACGGAGTTATGCCCGAACACAGATGAAAAAAAAAAACATCCGAATTCATGCCTTAATTATCTCCACTTGGAGATTATTTTTTTTTGAATAAAGAACTATCTAAATTGGGTCTCCTTTTTTGAAGTTGTTTAAAACAGATATAAGTAGACCCAAACATTCAAGCTACTTATAGAAACTTCTTATATTTCTTTAATTACAAGACTCGAAATCAATCTCAAAAACAGAGAGAAATTTCAAAATGCCCACTTATATGCATTAACAGATTGACACTTAAATAATTTCGGTCAAAATGCAGAGAGTTCAATCCCTTGGAGTATAGCTTAAAATCCAGACTCAATTTCGTGCAGTGCCAACAACCCTAAGCGCAAAATCTCTGGATGGCATGTCAACGACCGAGACTCCAGGCCGAGTGAGACGGCGAACGCCACTCATGTGGAAAGCGGTTATGCAACAATTGTGCACGCGAAAGTCTAGCGAGCGGTGTTACGTTCGCACAACTATGCATTTAGATGAACGCATTGCTATTTATTCTGATATTCTCCACAAGCGTCATCAATTTAAAAGCGTACTCAAATATGTAACGGTCTTGCTTCGACGCATAATGCGTCAGCTTGACCGGAGTGATAACACGTCCTCACAGAACACCGGTGTCACTCCACTCACGTTCCATGGGTGTCGGTCATTTACCATTAGGTGACTTGTTCTTAAAGTTACGTCACTTAAATCTCATCAAACATCATTCATTTTATACATTGAGCAATTTAATTTATAGTTTTAGGAATTATACTTAGCAAGATTTACGTCCATGTAAAACGGCTTTCGAACAAGCACTTTCTTAGATAAACTCAATAGATGTAAATGAGCACGATTGTTCAGACCGTGTTTTAGTATTGCAAAACAATATGGCGACCGATTTTATACTCTAGAATCTACCAATACGCTTATATTAGGCTTACCGATTGCACAAAAGTAACCAACAATAATACTGAAACTAGGACCTCACTAGCCAGCTCTAGTTAATTTATGGTATGTATGTACCTGTCACTTTCCATCGCCATTTTTGTCGATTTGGCGGGAAAATAATTGGTAATATTGTCAAGCGATCGCGTGTTTAACTTCTATGTAGTTTGTTGATTAAAACTATTAAGTTTTAAAGGTACTTGATGCTATTTTATATAAAAAAGTATTTAATATCTATTGATTCAAATATGTTTTATTGTAAAAAGAAAGATTTAGAAATATTAAATTTAACTAAAAAATGGGACCACCGTGATAAACTTAGACCTAATTTATCTTAGAGGATATTCTGATAATAGCAGCAAACAATTCTTAGAGTCACAGTGACGTTTTAGTTTCAAAGACATTACTACTCTACGTAACAGATATACGTTTGATATAACCTGAAATTCTCTCTCTTTTCGTCATAAGAAAACGTGCATTAAGGACTTTCTTATCTTTCTGGTATTCCTACTCTACGTACACTATTCTCAACTAACATTTAAATAACTGTTTCCAAAATCTAGGACACTCGTGTTACCAAATTCGCAAACCATAATCATGAGCTGTGACGTAACGTGCGTGAGTCTAAGTCAAAACGGATTGTGGAAAAAAGGGCTACATACGCAAGGCCGCCGGGCCAGCAGGTCACGGGCGATGCAAATTAGCTGATGCCATTGTTGATAGCAAGTCATTCACAACCTGAGCTGGTTAAGTTATGGTCGTAAAAAAAGTTATTTACTTAATATGCAAGAACATAGGTGAACATAGAGATTCGAGAACGAACGAGAACGAATTCGAGAAGGTGCTAATTAAAAAAAAAAATAGTGTTTGGTAAGCGATCTTTATTAAAATCAAAAAATTAGTTGTGGTAGATTAATTTATTGATGTTTTCTTGAACTAAGTAAATATATCGTAAAATTCTTCTTACACACGGCCGCCTGATACCAATATTAGCAAAATCTATGCTATCATTACCAGACTGCCGATAAACATACTTTATGCATTTCTAAAACACACATATTATAGATAAAATTAAAAGACAAAAAAAAACCGATCGTTCTCATCACACAATTATATGTCTTGGGTGGGATCGAACCCACAGCCACTGGCCTTAGCAGTTAGGTTCACTAACCACTCGTTCAACTGGGCAGTCTAAATGTTAAACTTTTTAAAAAAGGAGGAGGTTCTCAATTCGTCGGAATCTGTTTTTTGCTCTAAATGCCATCGTGAAATCGGTAAAAGTACAGCCCAACAATCAATTCCAAATACAATTAGTAATTTCTATATTCCATGTGCGATATGCAATTCGGGGTTACGATGTAAACCTTGATCCTTGAATCGAAGCCCTACAACTGCCTGGGTGGCCTGCGTAGATAATCCAAGGGGGGTTGTTGTAGTCGAGTTGCGAGGGGGAAGGTCGTCGGCCTCGGTTGACATAGAGCCGCGTGCGTTGAACGCACGGCCTAGACTGACCTCACTGTTCGACCTGGCGTCTTGGATGGATGGCCGGTCTCTCTTTGATGTTGAGAACAAATATTAACTTGTTTTTCCATGTTACAATGACATATTTTTTTATGACAAAATTAACGCAACTACGAGTATATGTTAATCAGATATCATCCCAACATCTATTTTAATACCAGCTGACCCGATAAACTTAACATCGCTATGGTAACAATAAATGTTGTATTAAAGTATTAGCTGAATTAAAATAAGTTTTTTTTATTTTAATAAAATGCGTTACGGAAACCAGCATACAACGCCATCTTCATTTTGTCCGCATTTAATTTCATACACGTGTGAGAAAATAAGGTTACCGTATATTTTTTTCCGAGAATTTTTAAAAAAATAATTGCGAAAAATATATAATCATAATTTCGAGACTGTAATATATTTTTTTTGGTGGTTAACAATAAAAGGAATTAATGTGGAAAAGCCAGCTATCCAATCAAGTTTAAAAAAAATTATGAGTACTTGCAGTTTTATGGTTGACAGTAACTGAGAGTACTGGAGGTTCCATTAATAAACACACCTTCCATTTTCATTGGGAAAGAGGCAATTAAAATTCCTGATAAAATAATGTTTTTTTTTCAAAGCTTCAAAAAAATGATATATCAGAAGGACTTCACTGGTGTCGCTTGAAGCTGCTTGCTGTATTAAAAAGCTACCATTTGATATATTATCCATGATTATTATTAACATGAATATACTGGAGTTAACTGACTATCTCAAGTAGACTTCTTTTTATGGTAAAGGTAATATTTAATAATAATATTTCGGACAGCTGACACACATCGCCATCTAGTTTTAAACTAAACAGAATTTGTACTATGAAAACTAGATTGACTGATTAAATACTTATTTACTGTATTTTTTTGTAAATGCATAGGTACATATTATACATAGAAAACCAAACGCCAAAACAAATATTTGCAGATTGCTCCCACTGGTGGTGGTAAACAGGCATACCTGGTCATGAGATGGTAAGTGTCCATGGACACAACTCAAGGAGCATACTTACGTTGTTGTCCTTGGAGTTCCTCCTCCTCCTCCTCCCAGAATGGAGGACGAGAGGAGGCTGTGTGCTACAGTAACTTCGCCAACTCACCCACTAAGTGAAAATCAGTCAATTACTGAACCTGGTGAAGGTTTTCAGGTTTCTGCCCCTTCGCAGATAAAAGTCATAGGTTTATATACATGTATGTACAAGTATATACCTTAAACTAGGCAGAAACAGTGATAATCAGACTGCAAATAAACATACATAACTTCTAAAAAAATTATGTAATGTAGGTATTATAGATAAATTACACCCAGACAGTACATTTCATTGTCATGTATGTTCTTTAAAACCATTACTTATCCTGAATGGGATTTAAACCCATATACACTGCCTTAACAAACTAAATTCATTATATTACTGTTTATTATTATTATACTATATAAAGAACCCTAGAATATACTAGACAGATTTTATGAAAGACGCACATAAACTCTCCTGAAAAATAAAGCTTATTTAACTAGGATTTAACATACAAGGTATATATTATTTTTTGCTGCATATTAATGTTAATCTATTAAGAATCTACTATATTTAACTCTTTTTACCGTGTTTGATACTCGGACCGAAAGAAAAACAATACAAACATAACCTCCAAATGCATACCTTGATACTTTGCGAATCTTTGCTTATTCTTTTCTAATAATTGTTTCTCTAGTTCTTGCTTCTTCTTCTCTTTCGCTTCTTCTCTCTTCCTAACTAATTCTTTCTGTCCAGCAGGAATTACCTGCACATCTTTCATTTTCTGTGCCGACTCATAATGACTGACATTTTCATACATTGGGGCATTTTCTACAGGAACTTTTGTTTTTTTAGAGTAAAGAGCTTTAATGGGATTAAAATTAGAACTACAAGCACTAACTTCTGACTCAGAAGTCGAGGAATCAGAATTTTCTTTTTCTGACATGACGTTGACGTCTCAACAAAAACAATAAACAGAAAACACTCGACCACAGACTGTTCAATAATACACGCAAAAAAAGTATTGGTGCGTTTCGTTTCATCCAATAGAGTTGGCAGTAACCGGAAACTAAAATATTATTATAACAATAATAAAATTTTATTTATAATTTTCAGCAACAGTGCGATGCGGAATTGTTTTGAAGCTAATAGTAATTAAATAACTTTACAGTAAATTGTTATAATTGCACTTTTTATTAACTTTGCAATTCATATTGATCGCGTGGTAGAATACTGAAGGTTCTTCCTTAAACGCCAACACTTCACACTTAATATAACAATAGGTAAAAGAAACAGCCTTACAAATAATATTAATTAATTTTTTTAATAGTTTATTCCTTAGTAACAAAATTAATGTTTTCATTATTATAATCTATTTAAACTATAACTGGTTTATTGTAAACTATTGAAGTATTAGTAAGCAAGATGCTAACTCACTGGTAATTACGCCAACTCAATGCAAGGTCTTTAAAGCAATATGCAATAGGAAGTTAGTATCCAAGGTCGTGTCTCACTGTGTTCAATGTTCATTAATATTATTTACATCAAAAAGAAAAAAATAAGTCTAACACTAGATTTTATATTTCATTTAATATACGAGTAAAAAACCAACGAACAACGTTTTGTTTCTATCCTTAAATAATAAGAATACAAAACGAATTATTTATTTAAATTTTATAATGATTTTCGCTTAGATTTAATCTAAAAAAATTTGAATGTAAAATATTACCAGTTTGAAAACATAATTCTGTGCAAACTTGCTTCAAAGATTTAAACATAGATGGCGGTATATTAAAAATGATAAAAATGTACTAAGGGTTAAAAATAAACTATGTAGTTCCTTTCGTTTCAATTGATTAAAAAAAAAAGAATTAATATACTGTTACTCTAGTATGTAATTCACGATTGTTGGTTTGTGCATTGTTTAGCCTATTTATTAAAATCCATTACAAAATGTGTGTGTCATGAAAATTAATACTGTAGACTCATACTAATAATAATAAATTTAGTACTAATGATTTACAAAGAAATACAAATAAACAATGTGTGTTATGCAAATAAACAATCTGAATAAAATAAACAATTAAGTGTTTTTGCGACATCTTGTGGCGTATAGAAGAACTAAACATGTTATTGACAAGGTTGATGTTTGCATATCCATTTAAACAATGATGTTCATAGATTGACAAAATAATCATATTTATTTTTTTATTGTATTTAATACGATGATTAGACAATATCAGCAAGTTTCTTTATTAATAATTGGAACAGGCGTTTTTTTTCTATCTTCTTGCAAAGTAACGACCATGAAAACATTGGCCACTCTAAATTCGAACGCCGCAAAACTGTAATTGTCCGGAAAAAAAGAGTGAAACATTTCATTCCAGACAGACTTTGTAGACTCAACTAACTTTTAAACTATAGCATTCCAAATTATCATCGTGATCATCAACAACCTTTAATAGTCCACTGCTGGGTATAGGCCTCTCCTTAGAAAGGAGGTTTTGGCCTAGTATACCACGCTGGCCAGACGGGTTGGTATAAGGTTTGTGTCAAGTTTTCTTTCTCTCTGCCGTGCCGTTGTCCTACGTAGCTTGCTATCTTAGTCGCTTCTTACGACACCCACGGCATGAACAGGGGTGGTGACACTCTGTATTCTTAATCCGTCGCCACACGGACACATTCTATAATATATGATTATAATATTGTTAGAATTAATGTACTCACGATAGGTATGAAGTACATCCCATTGAAATATCTGTCGTTTTGACCAGAAGGCTCATTCTCGTAATAAGAGTTCGGTCACAATTGAGTTTCGATCAACTTTCGATCTCACAACTGTCATAAAAGGTATTTTCGTGGTAAAGTATTAAACATCCAGCGTTAACTGTAATGTGATTATATCGTATTGTAACCGAAAATTCTGCAAGTCTTAATACTTCAATATTTAGTCTTCAGTTTGCACTGGTTGTGGTCACGGGCTGACTGAATTCCCTTGATAAATAAGTTTTTTTTAATAATAAAAGGGGTTGAAATTCCGTATGTCTGTCTCTCTGTCTGCAAATTAGAAAATAAAGGAAAAATATTAAACAGAAAAGGAGTATTGATTTACTTAGTTCTGTTGTCAAGAATTTGTTGGTCTAGTGGTTATAGTGATCCTAACTGGGGATTCAGAGATCGTAGGTTCAATTGCGCCACCTATTTATCTGCAGTTGACTGACCACAATACAGGCTTGGGATAATTTAGGATCCGACGACCGTGTGTAGATCAATAAAAACTATATTGTTGTATTTTTAACATACCAGGCACTATTTCGTTTTATTGCAACTTTTTCCCACAAACATATTTATAAATAGACTTTACATTTGTTTAAAACTTTCGTCTTGAATACGAAAGTTTGAGCTCGCATTTTAAATACCAGCAATCAACCATAATGCATTTATATGCATGTATAATAATAAGTATAATATGTGAATGTATCTTAATAAGTATAATATATACATGTATATGTACATATATATATATCTCAATTATTTGTTACTAAATTTTTATATGTTTTCTTTTTAACTCATTGATATCTAGTGCACCTAGTCACAGATTTAAAATTATGTTTACTGGGTACTAACGCACTAACGTTAAGTATTAAGTAGGTACACACCGTTTGATTGCCTGACGTTTCGACCAGTTTGCACTGGCTTTGGTCACTGCCGGACTGAGAACGCGTTTATTCCCTTAGAGATGTTTATAATTAATTTAAAAGTTAGTATAGCAACACACAAAGAATGCAAAAATAAATACTTTAAAAATATATTTTCAATTATTACGTTATAACCAACAATAACATTTACACATTAATGATTTTAACATTTATTACACATTATTATGTTTATAACAAACTGCTAACGAAGAAAGCGGTACGAGGAAAAGTTTAGAAAAGAAAAGTATATCTAGTTTTAATTCACACACGACAATTATAGTGAAAGAGTGAAGCTTGCATTGTTCGCTTTTTTTTTTTACAAACGCCAGCCGTTGTTTGGTAGAATTTCTTTGTTTCGCGGCGCAAGCGCAGCCTTCCGTGCATTGTACGTCTACGCATAATATGATTACGAGAACGTCTTATGTTTGTTACGTTTATAACTTTTTTCTTTTGTTTTAGTCTAGTAACTTTGAGTATTTTATGGTCAGTTAACTTTATGATAAAAGTTACGACAGAGGTGTTATTAGTTAATTGTAATTATTAAAATGATGTTTGTACTATGAATTATGTTTATATAGTTCTAAAAGTAACTTAACTAAGTAAAGTAACTAAATTAAATTGTTGTCGAAGTGTACCTATGACTTTTCAACTTATAATGCTAAAATAAACTAAACTGCCTTGGTGGTATAGTGATAGCGTATGAGACTTCTGTGCTGAGGTCTCAGGTTCGTTTGTTTGGGTGTTTTCTTTGTATAATATGTATGTATTTACAAGAAAATAAGTATTCTACCAGTCAATCTAGCTTTCATAGTACAAGCTTTGCTTAGTTTGAAACTAGATGGCGTTGTGTGTCAGATATCTAAAATAGTATAATATACACACGTTTGACCTTCTATCTTGAAGGTCATTGCAGAAGGCCTAGATCCATCAATTGACATCCTGTGTCTAAAATATTGTTGATGATAACCACGAATTTTAAGTCCAACATGAAATACAATGTTAAATCAATGGAGCTATGGTTCTGTTTTAACATAATTAGATTGAATTAATAAAATTCAATGATGGAGAATTCCGTTCTGCTCAAATTTAAACTAAATTAAATTATTACATTTGCGAAATTTTAATAATATTTATTAGATAGGACCTACTGAGCCGACACGTCAGAATATATCCTTATTCAGTGTATTTTGGCGCCTTTTCCAACTAAAGTGAAAATGCAAATACAAAACTAAAAGTGTAGTTTATATTAAATATCCTTAATATAATTATTTTTAAATATTGTACATTAGTTTTGAATTATAAAACAAAAAGACAGCCAAAATTATTATTGTCAGCAGTTACCAAAACATATTTTGCAGAGACCTCGCTTATTTTCTACTTATTTGAAAGTTGTTAAAAACAAAAGTAATAAATTTATTATTCAATGTATTTTTTTGTTTTAAAATGTATGTTTTTTTTTTGTTTCCAGAGCAGCGCGAGCGTGTGCGCAAGTGAGTGAGCGCCGCGCTGCATCTATGCTGTGTCGACGCAGATTCGACATACATCGGGACGTCGCCAGGTGATCTCGATGCATCGCCGCTTTCACATTTACAAAAACAATTGCTATAATCCCGAAGAAAAAAGAAAATTATAGCTCAAAATTTAATGTAACCAAATTTTTACTTACTACTAGTTCCGCCATCTAGTGATGAGAATTAAGCTAAAACACTAACATTCTAAATTTAAATGTTTTCCTTTTGAGATATTCTTCGCAACTGTAACTAATAAATATTATATTACTAACACTTTCATACTTTAGTCTTAAGCATTTGCTAAGAGACGTGAAAGCCTACGCTCGTAATCTTAACAGGTCGCTGCTGAAGAGGAGTGGTATACGAGGAGTGAGGTAACCTGGCTGGGAGGACAAGCACCGCTGAAGAGAACAGAACAGAGCCATCTGTTGTCTAATGGCAAAAACAAACATACCGATATGTGTTCCCCCGCAACTAAGTACCTAAGTTACGCGTAACACTACATCGAATAATGTACGTTCCGTCCAAGAAACTGCCAAACATTTTAAACGAATTTATTAGTGTAAATACATTTTTGGACTTTATAATAATATATTGTGTATAGTTCGCGAGTGTCGCGTGTGTAGTGTGGTGTGAACAGCGCCACCTAGTTTATAAAACTGAGAAAGGTGGCGGGGACGCATGCGCCATCTGGACCGGCGCTGGCGATGCCATTTATTGAAGACGAATGGTGGTCTGCGGAGAATGAGGGCAGAATGGTCGATCTCTCCAATTGCCTGCAGGTAATAACCTCACCTCTGTTCACTATCACTATCAAGGTGTACCCTTGAAAATGAAAACTGCAGAAAGCAAGAACAAATTAGATTCAATAAACTGGGTGCTTCATACTTGAAACCTGGCATTTGGCCTTAAAATTAACGTCAAATGAACCTCACCCGGTTCCAAACACTGATAAAGTCATTTAAATGTATCACAGTTATGAAATCACATTATAAATTACCAGATAATCACAGAACACACAACATAATCGACTACACAGTCGACTAGTTTTATTACCTTGCTTAGATGATTGTAAGTAGTCTCAATCCAATATAGCCTTAGAATAATAAAGAATATAGCTTTACTCCATGACGAGGGGCTGCTGTCGGGTGTAAAAGTAGTTTATCCATCGAAATAATGAATAAAACTCATGAGTGAGTGAGTGAGTGTGATGAGTGAGTACTCTTCGTTTGTAAACTAAGTAGAGATATAATTCATTCGATGCTATAAATTGAAGATATGCTAATATGAAATACCTATGATAATAACAAATCAAAATATCAAACTGTACAGTTCAAAATTCAAAGAAATATTGAGCCTTCTAACCGTGCTTACATTTGTACAATTTTTTTTCTTTTTGTAATTCCCTGAAAGTTGATTAAAGCTACATGCACTTCTGCTAAAGGCAACTGCATTACTGCTAATTATAATAAATTGTTTGCTAAGTTACATAAAATGGGGGTTCCATAAACACGACTTTTATTTTAGACGGACTTTAATATACACGTCGTTTTCATCAACAGCCTATACTAGTCCACTGCTGGACATAGGCCTCTCCTTAGAAAGGAGGTTTTGGCCTACTATAAGACGCTGGCCAGACGGGTTGGTATAGGGTTTGTGTCAAGTTTTCCTTCTCTTTGCAGAGCTGTTGTCCTGCTTAGTTTGCTCCCTTAGTCGGCTCTTACGACACTCACGGGATTAATTGGGGTGGTGACAATTTGTATTCTTAATCCGTCACCACACGTCGTTTTATTAACTAGCAATATTAACATACTGTATATAAGAACAAACTAGGTTTTAAAGAAAGAATAGTCATACATAAACATTCGTCAGTTCCAGGACGCGGTAGTGGCAGCCGGCGGCCAAGCGGCCGCTCAATTGCAACAAATGGCGACATCTCTCGGTGACCTCTCGCAAGCCGAGCTCACAAATATCGTCGGAGGACTAACACTCGAGCCCGACTCTGGAGAGGCGGCTGACCCAGACGACATCCTCAAGCAATTAGGAGAGACAGCGTTTGATAACTTCGAAACGTTTTTTACTGACCTCACAAATGCTACTGCGTCGGTTGTACCACCAATTGAAATAAAGGTGAGCGGGAATAGAAGGCTTAATTAAAACGTAAACATTTACTAGAAACATAAGTAAAAATACCAATAGAAATGTATTTGTATCGATAAAGTAGGGAGATTAAAATGTCATCATCATCATCAACAGCCTTTAATAGTCCACTGCTGGACATAAGCCTCTTCTTAGAAATGAGGTTTCGGCCTACTATACCACGCTGGCCTGACGGGTTGGTATAGGGTTTGTGTCAAGTTTTCCTTCTCTCTGCAGTGCTGTTGTTCTACGTAGTTTTTTCCCTTAGTCGGCTCTTACGACACCCACGGGGTGAATAGGGGTGGTGACACTCTGTATTCTTAATCCGTCACCACACGGACCTCGTCACTACACGGGCCCACGGACCACGCGGATTAAATTGTAATGAAGGGATAAATCGTTTACAAAAAGATAAAAATATGCGAACTAGAAATTTTACTGATATTTCTTTTCATAAGAAAACTGATAATGAAATGGGTAATGTAAAAAGAACAGACACTCTTGGTGAAATTAACTACTACAGTGCATGCTTATATCTTATACCTGTCGTAAGAGGCGACTAAGAGAGCTAACGTAGGACAATCAGCACTGCAAAGAGAAGGAAAACTTGACACAAACCCTATACCAACCCGTCTGACCAACGTGGTATAGTAGGCCAAAACCTCCTTTCTAAGGAGAGGCCTATGCCCAGAAGTGGACTATTAAAGGCTGTTGATGTGATGTGTGCATACTTAACGTACCAAATACACCCATTATTCATGCTAGTAGCGATGACAAGCAGTTTACAAGTACGTACAGAAACTTGCAGTAAATATAGTGTCAATCTTGCGCTGCCTCTAGGAGAACAGCGAAAGGAGTAGTCACTCTACCTTGCCAGGTATTAAGGGCGCAAAATGGCCATTATAACAATTGCTTGTTCAAATTTAAATTGTCAGGGCGCCTTTGAGAGACACGGCTCGTTTTTAATTCGTTATTACAATATTTCCTTAAGTAGCGTATTAAGCTACTTAGGTAATTAAATTATATATTAATTTGAAAACTAGATAGGTTTTATAAATATCGAGGGATTAATAAAATCGAGTTAAAGTTTACGTTGGTGTAATAACGCGGGTCATCTGAACGAGTTGTGCGGTGCATGTATTTCTTCTAAGTTTCGTATAATGTTTCATAGTTTTATTAAGATAAATTATTTATAATTTCAGCAAGAAGAAAACAATAACATAACATCGCCAGCGTCGAGTAGCCAACTCCAGGGCTACTATCAACAAAACAGTCAATTATCACTGCCAAACAACGGCCAACAACGGTTACAACAACTGTTGAGATCTGGCACTAGCGCCATCAACAATGCCGTTACAAATACAATCAATAATGGACGATACAACATCGCCTCCGCGAATCCTTTGCTTGCTGAGAAGTTATCAGCGACATCTAGCGCTATAAAGCAAGAACCAATTAGTTCTGACTACAATACATCGAGTATGAACTACGGGAACGCGTCGCCGATGCAGAGAATGCCGAGCGGGAAGCCGCAGGTGCACGATGCTGGTGGAGGTAAAGGTACGTTTTATTATTTGTTAGTTTGTAAGTTTTGTTTTAGTGACATCTATCGGCAAATTTTATACATACAATGTGATAAGACAAACATTTTGATTAAATAGTTTTAGTATTCACTACTAGATGTCACTATTACAAGTTTTGACTTGAAGTAGTTTGTTAGATGAATAACAGATGTCACTACTTAGTCAAATGCAATATTGCAGTTTACATCATGTCGGGATGCTTTACCCACTATGCAGTTTTCTCTTAGAGATCACAAACCACTTTCGATTTCCGCTCGAGGAAGTGCCGACAATTTTCCTTTCACGAATTGCCGCTTTTACTCCGTGAACGTTTAGAGCGACTGGCTATGAGAAAGTTTTATTATAAGAAATCAATATTACTCACTTCCAACATTGATTACTATATAATTTTATAGATATTCTTAATCGATTGAATGAAACATTTTGCTAATACATATATTTTCTATATTAGTTTAGAGATAAAACCAAAGAAGGCAACTTTATTTGCGACATCAATATTTTTCCTCTAACAAATATAATTTGGATGTAACTGAAAAAAAAAACTTGCAAATAGCTAATTAAGTTGAAAACCGTTGAGTTTTGATTTAATTATTTTGTAATTCTTAAACTTAGTAAGTAGTATTTTTGCACGGAATTGGGATCATTAGTCAGAAGGAGATGGCCGTCTATCTGTCAGCTTGTCATTTGTGGTTTTATAGGTTTATGGTAATTATATTATTTCTAGACTTTGACAGAATTGTCGACATCGGCACAGTTTGCCATAAACAAAAAAAAAATATTTGGCTGATCATACATTTTAATATTTATGAAAAAGATAAATTACAATATTACGGCAGATATCTAAGGAAAATTCTGATGAATTTTATTTTATGTTTGACAACTCATTTGATTCTCTAAAAACTATAAATCAGTGATGGTAGCTAGATTTACTTATATTTTCTTTTAGTATAATTCCTAATTAAAATAGTTAAAAGATACTCCCAGAAAACTATTTATATTTGACAATAATATCATCACTGGAGAGCTTTATTGATAGAGTTATTGGAGCAGAAACGTCATAATTATTTTATTTATTTATTTATTTATACATCATGCACTTTTGGTGCATTGGCGGACTTAATGCCTAATGCATTCTCTACCAGTCAACCTTTGGGTGATGCAGAGAGAACAGGAAGTAGGTGCATTATGGTTAAAGTTTGTTTGTAGTTATAATATCAAATACGCGTGCATAAACCGTACATACACTAGAACCCATATACATTATACATCCGTAAAAATATATTCCTAAATATGTATCGTAAGTTTATATGTATAAACTTACATAAATACATACATACCTAAATAAATACCATTAGGCCATAGGCCCAGGAAATTGATCGTCTAATACCGTCTATCTCGTGAGTAGGTTAGTGGCGCCCCCACGCGGGCGGAAGCGAAAGCGATACGAGCTGGACGGCGTCTACCTGACAGCTTTCTACAAGTCTAGTAATCAGACGTGCCTCCAACTTGTCACATGGTGTTTATTAAGAAAGTTTATAAGAAAACTGTTCACTAATAAAACTTAGGAATATATACCTTTCTTCCGTTTAAAGCGCTAATCTCTAACGAGTTGAATTAAAAAAAGTATTTTTGTAAAACATGCTCCGGGTCCCAGAAAGGAGACCAGACGTCGGGGTGATTTTTATTGGAAACATCACATACTCCTGCGTACCCGAGTAGCCTTAGATCCGAAGGGATTTTCCTCCCCGTCAATAAAAAAAAGGTGTAGGTATTCTCACATAATTATGTATGTGATATCTGATATACTTATAATAATAATAATATTGTACCACATTCACACAACACCATCTAGTCCCAAACTAAGCAGAGCTTGTACTATGGGTACTAGACAACTGATATAAATACATATATATCCTGTTTTTTTTGTAAATACTTACTTATTATACATAGAAACACCCAGACCAAATCAAACATTAAATGTTCATGCACACAAATGTTTCGCACCTTTATTCATAAACTGAATTAACTTAGAATTTCAATATTGTGGGAAATCGCATTTAAAGTTTGACATTTGTACGTGCGAGTTCGTCAAATAGAGAACGACGATCTCCTTATCTCTGCCATTTTCATGGTATCGAGTCGCCTGTTGGATTGTTCGTGTTCTACTGATGAAGTTGATTTGGTATTTGTTAAAAACTCGAAAAACGTAAATTTTGAATTAATTCAGTTTATTATTAAAGGTGCGGTTTGACTTGAGCGGGAATCGAACCCGCGACCTTTGGAATAGCAGTCCGTTCACAAACCACTACGCCATCCGGTCGTACATATAATATTTATATATTTTTTTAAATAGTTTTTACATACTTGTCTGTTAGTATCTACGTCCTAGGCAGAACTGTAGTCACAACTAAGGAATCAAGACTTCTCCCTTTACATTTAAAAACTAAAATCTGTTTGCTTTCCAGAGATTTCAATCACATCATATCAACAGCCTTTAATAGTCCACCGCTGGACATAGGCCTCTCCTTACAAAGGAGGTTTTGGCCTACTATACTATGCTGGCCAGACGGGTTGGTACAAGGTTTGGTTCAAGTTTTCCTTCTCTTTGCTGTTGTCCTGCGTAGGTAGTTCCCTCAGTCGGCTCTTACGACACCCACGGGATGAATAAGGGTGGTGACACTCTTTATTCTTAATCTGTCAACACACGGAATATGTGAAGAGTTAATAAACTGGCAGAAAGACCGATAGACAGACACACTCTCGCATTTTTAACATTAGTATGAATATAAGTATAGTGTTATCAATTTAGGGTAATTTATTATAATGAATTACACCAAATTAATTATTACTGTACATATTTTTAACAATTATAACGATCCATCTGCAGTTTTCAAAGAAAAAACAATATGAATCCTTACCAAAATACCCATCACACAATAACAAAGAGTATAGGAAAAGTTATTAATTATGTGACTTGTAAATAAAATATATAAACCGAATTGCTCGAAAAGTGTTTATAGGAAAAAGTTATTCATAAACATGCATTATTTCCTAGTAAGGAATATAGGGCTGTGTGTCAAGGTGACAGCGGTATAGTTGTCATACCTGCGTCACGTCATGGATCACATGGAACTAAAAGGTAATTAAGCAAAATATCTGGTAATTCACCGAAGACACAACTATGTTAGTGGATTTACTCTGTATATTAATAATAATATATAACAAACATCTCACACACGGCCGTCTGATCCCAAACTAGGCAGAGCCTGTACTATAGTTACCAGACTGCTGATAAACATACTTATATATTTTTAAATACACACACAGAATAAATGACCGTGCTCATCACGAAATAGTTGTCCTGGGTGGGAATCGAACCCACGACCTCCGGTTTAGTTTTAATAAGGTTCGAAAACTTATTAGTTTGATTTTGTGCTTATTAATTAAAAAGTATTGTATTGGTTTCAAATATGTACCTGCCACACGCAGCTCTACATCACTTAAAAGTTTGACTGAAAGAAAATGCCTGTGGCATTAACTCAGCCTCATACAATATTGCGAAAGCTTAAATAAAATAAGCTAATTATTTAAAGAAAAAACAATAACCCGACTGCGTAAAAATGTATAGGTACTTAAGATTGGATGGCGTAGTGGTTTAAGCGGTCATCACGCCGCTTCCTACTACGCCGAGTGTTGTGGGTTCGATCCCCACATGGGACGACACTTTGTTCGATCCACAAATTGTTGTTCTGAGTCTGGATGTTCTTTGTGTCCATTTCATGTATGTTTATAAAGTCCCCCGCGACACAGGATATATTCTTAATGTGGGAGTTGTCTTTAAAAATAAAAATAAAAACATCAACATCAGTCCACTGCTGGAATTGGCCTCTCCTTAAAAAAGAAGGTTTTAGCCTACTGTACCACGCCGGCCAGACGGGTTGGTATAGGGTTTATTTCAAGTTTTCCTTTTTTTGCAGTGCTGTTGTCCTGTGCAGTTCGCTCCCTTAGTCGGCTATTACGACACCTACGGGATTAATAGGGGTGGTGTCATTCCGTATTCTTAATCCGTCACCACAACAAAAAATATACATATTAATATTAGAAATCTCAGAATATTGTAAATAGATTTAATTATCCATAAACCCGCTACATCTAACTTTGCAGTTGGAAACTCTACCAATGCGCCGGAGGTTGAAATGAGCACCTTAAGTGACGTTAGATATTTTATAGTAACTTTGAACTGAAAAGTGGCAGCCATCTTTAAATACAAGTCACGTATTTTTAACTCGTTCACCAATTTACAGAAATAACTGACATTCTTGACATATATATGTCATACAATATTATGTTATTTTGAACATTAGGGCAAGTATTTCATCACTAGACAGGTTACAAATGTCAAACCAATTTTTATATATGTTTTTACAGATAAATAAATTGACTGCACGGATTGCGTAGTGGTTTAAACGGTCACCTTACCGTTTCCTACTGCACTGAGTGTTGTGGGTTCGATCCCCACGTGGGACTACACTTTGTCTGTTGTAGTTGTTCTGAGTCTGGGTGTTTTTTGTGTCCGTTTCATGTATGTTTGTAAAGTCCCAAAGGATATATTCCTATTGCGGCAGTTGTCTTTTTAAAAAGAGAGAAAAGATAAATGGAAAACACACCATGTTATGTAATGTGCAAAGTCATTACCGCCACCCATGAACTCACACTCACAAGATAAACATCAATATCTTTTTTTTTTAAGTATACGGGGGCAAACGAGCAGACTCGTCATCTGAGGGTAAGCAACTACCGCCGCCCGTGGACACCTGCAACTCAAAAGTTACTGCCCTTGGAGACCTTCCCGCTCAAGTCAGCCGGAGGGGGAATTTGGGCTCCGGTAACCTCACTCACTCAGCAACGAAAGAATTGCTTAACACCGGTTTTCTGTGAGGCCACATGGCTCTCCCATGAACAATTATCTTGTTGTGTTTAATAAAAGAGAAACTAACGATACTTAACTTTTCAGTCAGTGAAATCGTTTGGTGTTTGGCATCGCTCGTGACAACCCTAGTTTCATATTTTCGTATACTTCCGTTTCTGCTTAGCTTAGAAAAGTTGAGTGCATACAGTATCAAAGTGAGACCTTATTTGCCACCGTTTAGTTAAATAAAGCGTAAGACAGCATCCGCAATCTTACACACTTGCGTGTGTGCGTACAACCATGACCTCGTTTTCACTG